TTTTCAAGTTTTGGCGGTAACCCCGCCCAGCCCCGGCAGGGGATAAAAGGGCGCCCCGCGCACACCATCCAATTCGCAGAGCACCACTGGAAGAAAGATGGTCACAGGTATGTAACCTACCAATACAGCTACCCAGTGATTCCGGCCATGAAAGCCTTCCACAATAAATGAATTCTAAAGATTTCTTAAGTCCCCATTCGTTTGACTACTGTGGTAGGGCAAATTGACTCACTTACCTTGGAGTTAGCCTTCGTGAACTCCATGGAGCTTTCTTCTAAAGAGACCCCTGTCAAACCCCAGGGCTGGAGAGTCCCACATTTCTGTGTCAGCTGGGCGAGAATGTACTCTAAGGAGCTGTCCAAGGTGATGAAACAGTTTGGAGGACACAGATTCAAAAGTCGTCCTCCTGCGAAATACAGGCAAAGCCACAGTCCACAAATAGCGACAGCTTCAAAACCTAAAGTACATAATGCAAGTTCCCGAAATTTCAGTGGCTTCTTCATCGGGAAAAGATGTTTAAAATCCGACAGGACAAAGAAGGTCACCATGATAGACAAAAGCTCATATTCTGTCTCTCACTCTCTTAGCACTTAAACATTATGGTATATTGAGGGATTTCAGTGGAGTTGAAATCCCTCAATATACCATTGAAGTATATTGATTGTTTGTTATGTTTTAATTGTGTTACTTTACAACCTTGTTTATATTGGGCTTGATCCCCATGTAAGCCGCCCCGAGTCCCTTGGGGAGATGGAGGAGGGATATAAGAATTTTATTATTATTTCATTACTATTATTATTTGAAACACAACAAGATGAGTCCACAGCCTGGTTGCATCCTGTCTGGGGGATCCTTTGTTGGAAAGTGCTAGCTGGCCCTGATGGTTTGCTGACTGGAATTCCCCTGCTTTTTTGGTGTCGCTCTTTATTTATTGTCTTGATTTTAGAGTTTTTAAATGCTAGTAGCCAGATTTTATTCATTTTCATGGTTTCCCCCTTTCTGCTGAAATTATCCACATGCTTGTGGATTTCAATAGCTTCTTTGCGTAGTCTGACATGGTGGTTGTTAAAGTGGTCCAGCATGCCTCAGAGTGTGGTGGAGGCTCCTTCTCTGGAGGCTATTAAACAGAGGCAGGATGGCCATCTGTCGGGGTGCTTTGAATGCGATTTTCCTGCTTCTTGGCAGGGGGTTGGACTAGATGGCCCACGAGGTCTCTTCCAACTCTATGATTCTATGATTCCTCCCTAAACTCCATAATCCTAACTTGCTCCTGCCTAAACTACAGATCCCAAGACGCCATGAGAAGGAGCCATTGCTATTAAAGAAGAGTCACACTGTTACAATTGTGTAGTGTGAATCCACCCGCGAAATTCATTTCTAATGATATTTTTAATAATAGTTCAAACAAATTGTTAGTATTTGGGGGGAAGCGTTATCTTAATTGAATATCGAATCATACCTGTAAAGGCGGGGGGGAAAGAAATATTGGGGCTGGGACCTCAAGAAGGAAATGGGATTTAAGGGGGCATCTATATCAGCCATGGGCAAACTTGGGCCCTCCAGGTGTTTTGAACTTGAACTCCCACAAAATCAGAGAATCAGAGGTGTAACACATACTCTTGGATCCACAACTTACCAGCAAATCAATCTCACTATGTATTGTCGGATACTTTCATGGCCGGAATCACTGGGTTGTTGTGTGTTTTCCGGGCTGTATGGCCATTTTCCAGAAGCATTCTCTCCTGACGTTTCGCCTGCATCTATGACAGGCATAGACCCTTCAACCTCTGAGGATGCCTGCCATAGATGGGGCAAAACGTCAGGAGAGAATGCTTCTGGAACATGGCCATACATCCCGGAAAACTCACAGCAACCCAGTGATTCCGAGCATGGAAGCCTTCCACAACACATCTCTTTCCCTCCCTCTTTCTCATGGCCGCAATCACTGAGTTGTTGTGTGTTTTCCGGGCTGTAGGGCCATGTTCCAAAAACGTCAGGAGATAATGCTTCTGGAACATGGTCACACAGCCCGAAAAACACAACAACCCAAATCCCAGTATGTTGAATGAACATCAGTGTTAAGTAACCAGTCGGGATAGACTTCCAAATCAATTTGAAGCAGATCTTCAGACTGTATCTAATAGGATTTATTTCACCGTGTTGGACCATTTGGACCAATCAAACCCATTTGAAGTGAACGAGGCAGGCAGTCGTTTGTCAGTAACTTTATTTTTTTTAAAAAAAATGATCATGACAAACGGAAACGAAGACCCAAATACGGCGCTCTTTGTACAGAATTCGTTATAAAACAAACATACACCACAGAAGTCGTCTACGAAATGATCCTTTGGGGAAATGATATAGATAGAGCGTGCTTTTATGGATATCATGCTTTCGATATTTATTTTACAAACGTGACTCAAATAGGATTCTGTTATAAATAAGTTGCAAAGAAGATGTCCCTGGTCCCAGCAGGATCCCAAACCCCCACCCCCTTCTGGGAGCTGCAGGAGAGTGAAATGGGTTGACTCAGAAGGAAGTCCCAGGCATTTCCATAGCACTTAATTCAAGCTTCTACAGACAGCATCACAGCTTTTCCTAGGGGGCATCTACATTGTACAATTAATACAATTTAGCATCACTGTGGACCCCTCGGTGGCGCAGTGGGTTAAAGTGCTGAGCTGCTGAACTTGCTGACTGAAAGGTTGACGGTTCAAATCCGGGGACCGGGGTGAGCTCCCGCTGTTAGCCCCAGCTTCTGCCAACCTAGCAGTTCGAAACATGCAAATGTGAGTAGATCAATAGGTACTGCTCTGGCACGAAAGTAACAGTGCTCCATGAAGTCATGCTGGATACATGACCTTGAAGGTGTCTACGGACAATGCTGGCTCTTCGGCTTAGAAATGGAGATGAGCACCAAACCCCAGAGTCGGACACTACTGGACTTAATGTCAGGGGAAAACCTTTACCTAGCATCACTTTAACATGACTCAAGACCTTTCCACACAGTCATAAAACCCAGAAAATCCCACAATATCTGCTTTGATCTGGGTTATCTGAGTCCACACTGCCATATATTCCAGATCAAAGCAGAAATGTGTGATTTAATTCAGCTGTGTGGAAGGGGCCTCAGTTTTATGGAATCATGGGATTAATAGTTTAATGAGGCACCAGCACTCTTCGGCAGAGAAGACTTAAGAGCTTGAAAATCGACAAGACCCAGGATATCATTGTGCCCTTGCATTTAAAGTGCTGTCAAACTGCATTAATTCTACACTGTAGGTGCGCCAAACCCTCCCCCGAAATATTTTGCCCCAGTTCCTGTGCTTCCTGGGCGAACTCAATAGGACTTCCTTCTAAAATAAACAGGGAGCCCTTCCACACAGCTGAATAAAATCCCACATTATCTGCTTTGAACTGGAATATATGGCAGTGTGGACTCAGATAACCCAGTTCAAAGCAGGGATTGTCTGCCTTGATATTCTGGGTTATATGGCTGTGTGGAAGGGGGACTGGAGAAGAACTGCAACTTGAAATGTTCCCGCGGGTTAGACCAGAGCGAGAACTCAAGCAGAATTTCGGCTCTTCCCTAAATCCAAATGGATACTCGTATGACTGTAAAACGGGAATTAAACTCTTCAGGTTCCGACTTTGGAGCTGCCCTGTTTTTAATTCTTTAAAGCTTTTCCATCGCCTATCTCCCTGAGGCTAGCCACGCCCCTGAAGACTGAAGTCCACGCATTTCAGGATGCTTTTCTTTAGAACAGGAGTGGGAATCCCTCCAAATATTGGACTGCCATTCCTATTGCCCCCAGTGGTGCAATGGGTTAAACCTTTGTGCTGGCAGGACTGATGACTTGAAGGTTGAGTTGCTGACCTGAAGGTTGCCCGGTTCAAATCTGGGGAGAGTGCGGATGAGCTCCCTCTGTCAGCTCCAGCTCCATGCAGGGACATGAGAGAAGGATGATAAAACATCAAAACATCCGGGTGTCCCCTGGGCAACGTCCTTGCAGACAGCCAATTCTCTCACACCAGAAGCGACTTGCAATTTCTCAAGTTGCTCCTGACACAAAAAACATTCCTATCGTGCCTTGCCAGTGGCTCTGCTGATGGGAGCTGCAGTCCAACATTCTTGTGAGAGGGAAGCTATGGTGTCCACTCCTGGTTTAGAACAATCAGAAACGCATGGCCATCCAGGCATTGTTGGACTGTGGCCCCTTCCACACAGCTGAACAAAATCCCGCGTTTTCTGCTTTGAACTGGAATATATGGCAGTGTGGACTCAGATAACCCAGTTCAAAGCAGATATTGTGGGATTTTCTGTCTGGGTTATATGGCTGTGTAGAAAGCCCCTGTCGTGCCTAACATCCCTTAAATTTAAATCAGTGATTTAAACGTGCGGGGTCCATTCACAGGATATCAAGGCAGAAAATATCTGCTTTGAACTGGATTATCTGAGTTCGAATTCAGATAATGTGGGATTTTCTGCCTTGATATTCCGGAATATAGGGCTGAATGGAAGGGTCCTGGGGTTCAGCTACTGAATCGACCACCCTCGGATGCATTTACACTAGAGTAGTATTAACACAGTTTGGCACCACTTTAACTGCCATGCCTCCATGCTCTGGCATCATGGGAGTCACAGTTTAGCCAGGTTTTTAGCCTTCTTTGCCAAAGCCTGCCTGTGTCTCACCAAACTGCAACTCCCAGGATTTTTATAGTATTGAGTCATGACAGTAAAAGTAGAGAAAAACTGCATTAATTGCACAGCGTAGATGCACCCTGCATGTCAATCGAGCTGCAGCCATGAAGTTGGGTGCAAGCGACCTGTGCGCGCGTGTGTGTACCTGCAACCACAGAGTGCATCTATACCAACCATAGGCAAAGTTGGACCCTCCAGGTGGTTTGGAGGTCAACTCCCACAATGCCTAAGAACCTCAGGCCCTTCCTTTTCCCCCTCAGTCGCTTAAGCAGAAAGGAAAGGAAAAGGAAAAGGAAAGGGGAAAGGGGAAAGGGGAAAGGGGAAAGGGGAAAGGAAAGGAAAGGAAAGGAAAGGAAAGGAAAGGAAAAGAGGGAAGGGGCCTGAGGCTATTAGGAATTGAGTTGAAGTCCACAACACCTGGAGGGCCCATCTTTGCCCATGACTGATCAAAACTGTAGAAATCAATGCCGTTTGAGAGCGCTTGAAGTGCCACGACTCAGTGCTATGGAATCACAGGAGTGCTGGTTTGAGAAGGTCTTTTGCCTTCTCTGCCAAAGAGTGTTGTTGCCTCTCCCCAAGCTTTAGTTTCCCAGGATTCCTTAGCATGGAACCATGGCAGTTCAAGTGGTATCAAAACTATTTCCAATCTGGAGTGTGCAATTAGAGATAGGAGCATAAACATAAATAGTAGAAGAGGGTAGTAATATGTTTGGCAAACTTCAACCCTTGTTTCCGAGCAAGATGGCGAGGGGCGCACTGTTCAAGTCCCAGGGAAGTGCCTCTCTGGAGCTGAGAGCAGATGAATCATCATAAATATGAGGAGATGGATTTAACATATGTTTTGAAAACTTCAGCATATATTACTTTCGAGCAAACACAGATAGGGGACAGAGATAGACACTTTTTGAGTTTCATTGATTTGTGAATTCCCAAATAAACATCCATCCGTCTGAAGCCATGGAGTTGGAGGCAGGTGAATAAAATAATCATGTATCTTAGGAGATGATTTTAAGCAGGTGTTCTGAAAAATTCCACCCTAACTTTGATGCAAAGTTGGTCTTTAAACTGATCCAGGATCCAGCCTTTTCCTCAGCTTTGCTTAACTCACGGGGCTGGTTCAATTGCAGATCATCCTAAGTGATCAGTGTAGATCAGGCATGAGCAAACTCTGGCACTCTAGGTGTTTTGGACTTCAGCTCCCACCACTCCTAATTGCCTCAGGCCCTTTCCTTTCCGCTTAAGCGGCTGAGGGAGAAAAGGAAGGGGCCTGAGGCTGTTAGGAATTGTGGGAGTTTGTTGTGTTTCATCCCTGGACTGCACAAGTCTCTTGTGTCATCAAGTCTCCAGTCCTCAATGAGTAGCTAGACTAGATGTAGAAATGGAATCTCTGTGAGGTATGAGGTAACTTCCTCTTTAAAGGTATTTTCATCGCCCTGAGTTTGGCCATGTGGTCATCCTCCTTTGTTGGCTCTCTCTGCCTTTTCCTTTCTTCTAGTGAGGGCGCATTTTGCCTCTCTCCAGGCAAAATACAACTGCATGGATATTTTGACTTTTTATCATTTAAGCTAGTTAGCTCTAACACCTTCTGTATCTAGAATGGATTTCTTTTTACTTTAATAAATATTTTGAACCTAAAGTTGTGACTCTGCCAGTCTCTTGAATGGAAGCTGATCCTGGCTCACCACACTTAAGTTTCTGCTGGTTATGAAGGCTGCTTCTGACTCTGCTAAGTGATAGGGAAGAGGGAGCAATCTTGTTTTCTGCTGCCCTGGAGACTAGGATGCAGAACAATGGCTTCAAACTACAGGAAAGGAGATTCCATCTGAACATGAGAAAAAACTTCCTGACTGTGAGAGCCGTTCAGCAGTGGCACTCTCTGCCCAGGAGTGTGGTGGAGGCTCCTTCTTTGGAAGCTTTTAAACAGAGGCTGAATGGCCAACTGTCGGGGATTCTTTGAATGCAATTTTCCTGCTTTTTGGCAGGGGGTTTCCTGGATGGTCCCTGAGGTCTCTTCCAACTCTATGATTCTATGACTCTATAATGGTGGAATCACCCCAACTGAGGGTTATTTAGAACCCAACAGTTCAGATTCCCTCACAGAGTTGAAGTCCAAAACACTTGGAGGGCCCAAGTTTGCCCATGTCTGGTGTAAATATCAACCTTAAGAGAAGTCGGTCCTTAGAGGGTCATTTTCCCAAGCCATTTCAGGACCTGAATGTCATCCCCTAGCACAGTGGTTCTCAACTTGTGGGTCCCCAGATGTTTTGGCCTACATCTCCCAGAAATCCTAACAGCTGGTAAACTGGCTGGGATTTTTGGGAGTTGTAGGCCAAATCACCTGGGGACCCACAGGTTGAGAACCACTGTCCTAGCAAATAGATGTGCCTATCGATTGGGGGGGGGGGGGGCAGCAAAATATTCATAAATATTCGGAGGTGGTTTGAACAGGACTTCAACCCAAGGTTCCTTTGCAAGAAGTTGATATGGAGACGGAGGGAGGGAAAGACCGAGGCCGGCCCTCAGGGCTGCTCTTTGCCGCCCCCGCTGCTGCTTCCGCCCGTGTCCTGGTCGCTCTGGTCGTCCGTGAAGCAGACGTCGACGTCGCTCTCGTTGTCGTCGGTCTTGGGCTCCGGGGGCGGAAGGGGCCGCCCGTAGCCGGGTGCCCTGTCCTCGCCCTCGGCCCCTCCCTCGCCCTCGCCCCCTCCCCCGTGGGCCCCTTTGGGCAGGCTCTGTCCCGGGTGGCGGGACTTGACGTGCCTCTCCAGGTCCCGGCGCCGGACCAGCACCTTCCCGCAGAACTCGCACCGGTAGGGCGTGTTGCCCTCGGCGTGGAGCCGGATGTGCTTGTTGAGGTTGCTGGGGTCGCCGAAGGGCCGCAGGCAGACCTTGCACTTGAGCGGCTTGTAGCCCGTGTGCGTCCGCATGTGGATCTTGAGGCCGTACTTGCGCGAGTAGAGCTTCCCGCAGTAGAGGCACAGGTGGCCCGTCTTGGCTTTGCCGCCCACGCCTGAGGAGGGTGGGCCCGAGGACGGCGGCAGGCCCTCCGCCAAGCGGGCCCGGCTCTTCTCGCCCGCCATCTCCGACAGCTGCTGCGTGTGGAGGGCCAGCTCTCGGTCGAGGCCCAGCTCCGAGGGGCTCAGCCCCGCCGCCGCAGCAGCTGCCGCAGCCGCCGCAGCAGCCGCCGCCGCCCCGTTGAAATAGGAGACCGAGTCCGGGTACTTGAGGAGGTGGCCGAAGTGGAGCTTGAGCGGGTAGTAGGGCCCGCCGTAGAGCAGCTCGCCGTTGTAGACGGTGAAAGGCAGGAAGGGAGGCAAAGCGCAGTCCCCAGAAGCGGCGACAGCGGCGGAGGAGGAGGAGTAGGGCTTCAGACCGCCGGTTTCGAAGGGCGGCAAGGCGGCGAAGCGCTCCAAGTGCAGCCCCGACGCCCCTCCGCCTCCCCCAGTGGGGAGAGGACCGTACCGAGCGGCGGGGGGCGAGAGGCGGGCGTGGAGGCCCCGCTCGACGTGCTTGAAGGCCGAAGTCTCCTCGAAGTGGGGCAGGAGCGGGAAGCCCCCCGGGTAGGCCAGCCCTGCCGCCGAGAGCGAGGGCCCCGCACTCCCCGCGTGACACTTGGCGTGGGAGGGGGGCGGGGGCCCGTGCGGGTGCAAGTGGGCACCTCCGCCCAGCCCCAGCGGCCCTTCGTGGCCCGCCCTTCCCGGCTTGAGGCCGCCCAAGAGTTTGCTGAAGCCACCACCGCCTCCTCCTCCTCCGTGGCTTTTGGCTTCCTCCGCTTGAGACACTTTGGCCAAGCCGGCGGGCTTAAAAGCCGAGCGAGCCCCTCCCGGGTAGAAAGACAGGCCGTTGCCGCCCAGAAAGTGCCTCCCGGAGCCGAGGCTCATGTCCAAGGCGCGCTCCTGCTCCTCCTTGGCCGCCTTGCTGCGCCCCTTGGCGAAGGAGGGCGAGGCCGAGGCCGGGCAGGGCTCTCGCTTGACGCCTGCTGCGCCTCCTCCTGTTCCTCCTCCTCCTCCTCCTCCTGCCCCTACTGGGGGGACGGGGGGCCTCAGGGGCGCCGGCGGGGCTCCGGGCTTCAGGGCGGCCAGGCTGAAGACCTCGGCGGGGCGAGGCGGCTCCGGGGGGCCCAGGAAGCCTCGCCCGCCGTGGAGGGCGCAGTGGAAGTGGACGTGGGCCTTCAGGCTGTTGGGGAACTTGAAGGTCCGCCAGCAGTACCAGCAGATGTAGCGCTCCTCGCCTGGGGAAGACACACAAAGACACAAGGCTGTTACCAAAGGCGTTTCCAGGGACAAAAGACACAGTCGTGAAAAACTGAGCAGACTCCATGGGACCATTAAGGCCCCTTCTACACTGCCATGCAAAATCCAGATTATCTGCTTTGAACTAGATTATATGGCAGTGTAGACTCGGATAATCCAGTTCTAAAGGACTCCCGGTGGTGCCGACAGGACTGCTGACCAAAAGGTCAGTGGTTGGAATCCAGGGAGCAGGGTGAGCTCCCGACTGTTAGCTCCAGCTTCCCATGCAGGGACATGAGAGAAGTCTCCCACTGGATGGTAAAACATCCGGGCATCTCCTGGGCAACGTCCTTGCAGAGGGCCGATTCTCTCACACCACAAGCGACTTGTAGTTTCTCAAGTGGCTCTTTACACACACACACACACACACAAATAGGTTTCTTAGAGTTTGGGTTTAACTCAGTCTTTGTGGCTGAGGATATGGCCGTGTGGACTCAGATAACCCAGTTCGAAGCAGATATTGTGGGATTTCCTGTCTTGATATTCTGGGTTGTATAGCTGTGTGGAAGGCCCTCTGTCCTGAAACACCCTTGCCTACCAAATTGCGGCCTCCCTTTAAACTTCTCTCTCCCATTGCTGTCTTTGTCCTCTAAGCATGCCTGCAAACGTGCTTTTCAAACACACAGCTTTGCAAACTTAGGCAGCTTCTCACCTCACCATTTCAGAGGATTGCTGCTGCCAGGGTATTTGCAACTGGCATTGAAGAGAAGTTGCGCTTGTTTCCCCCTGCTCTAGCTCAATACACTAAAGAGAGAAAATCCACTTAAAATCCGATTTCTTCCTGCTGCAGAAAGGCTCCTCCCTTAATACAAACCCCGGAATTCTGCAGGAGGCAAAAACCGGATTTTAAATGGATTTTAAGTGGATTAGGAAGACCTTTCTGACTGTCAAAGTTGTTCTTTTGGCCTTGGCAGGTTTTGTTTTGTTTTGTTGCTAGTCAGGCATGCCCAGATGAAATCAACCAAAGGAATGTTTATTGCCCCTTGCCTCTTCCTGTTGCATATGCTAATGGCCTGTTCTGGCCAACTCTGTGTCTCAAGAAGAGAATCCCTTTGATGTTTACAAAAGGGAGAACATCCTCTTTGTCTTAAGATAGCTGTTTTTTGTTCTCGGTCCGTCTTCCTCTGCTGCTGTTGTTCAGCATCCATTTCTCGCCATGAGGCAAGAGAGATGAGCAGGCTATTTTCTCTTTTGTTTTACCAAAAGAGAGAGAACTCCTTGAACTCCTATTATATCGGGATCTAACCTGAATTTAGTCCATCTTTCATCCTACCTAAGGAAGTTTGAGCCTGCCTGGTGTTTTTACACAACTTTGTAAGTAAAAGAAAATCCTTTGAAACCTTACAATTCTGGTTAATGTTTATTTTTGTCTGCTCACTTTGCTAGTGCATGATGGGATGGGACCAAAAGGGATCCTGGGATTGGTAAACTCCCTCTAAACTTCTCTCTCCCAGGCCCCTTCCACACAGCTGAATAAAATCCCACATTGTCTGCTTTGAATTGAGATATATGGCAGTGTGGACTCAGATAACCCAAATCAAAGCAGATATTGTGGGATTTTTCTGCCTTGACATTCAGGGTTATGTGGAAGGACCCCAGTTTGTTACTCCCTCTACTCTGCTGCTTCATGGAGACAAAATATTGTATATTTTAAGGGTGTTTTAATTAAGACAATCTGGGTTGTTGTAGGTTTTTCGGGCTATGTGGCATGTTCTAGAAGCATTCTCTCCTGACGTTTCAACTGCATCTATGGCAAGCATCCTCAGAGGTTGTGAGGCCTGAGAATGCCTGCCATAGATGCAGGCGAAACGTCAGGAGAAAATGCTTCTAGAACATGGCCATAGAGCCCGAAAGACCTACAACAACCCAGTGATTCCAGCCATGAAAGCCTTCGACAATACAGAAGACAATCTGGTTTAACGGCCAGATATTCCCAACAATATTAGGCCCAAACAGAGCAGATCCAACTGGTTCAATAGATCTGTTCTTATTGGGACTAAACAATGGGATTTGGCCTAAACCGAACATTTGGAAAGATTCAGATGTTAAGATCTGGTGAGAAATCTTGAAAGACAAGCAAGTATCTCGACGTCCAAGTGAAGACCACCTAGACTCAAGTATCCAGTTCATCATTTCATCAGGTAAGGTCTAAACAACCTGAGGGCACCACATCTCACCCCAAAAGACCGATATCCAAAATACTTCTGGTTCCAAATATTTTAGATGTTCAACTTGTACAGACAGAGAACCAGTGCATGCTGAACCATTGATCTGGTGACTACTACAGGCCCCTTCTACACTGCCATAAGAAATCCAGATTATCTGCTTTGAATTGGACTGTATGGCAGTGTAGACTCTTATCATCCAGTTCAAAGCAGATAATGTGGATTGTATGGCAGTATAGAAGGGACCTTGGATGCCAATATCCTTTTCACATCGAGTCTGTTACTCATTTTGAAATCTGATCCTGTCTTCTGTCATTTGCAAACTTGATAAGCATTCCCTCTAAACCTTCACACAAATCAGGCATCCCTTGGGTTCAGGTTGCTTAATCCACCCAATAGTAGTACAGTCTAGCCCTCATTTTACTAGTTTGTTTGCAAGAAGATCATGGGGGAACCTTGTCAAACGTCTTCCTGAAATCAAGATATATTACACCCACAACATTCCCTGCATCTACCAAGCTTAATGTGTGTAATATAATTTGTGTTTTAATCTTTATGGTGGAGTCCCCACACACACAAAAAAAAGCAGGACTGCTGACTGAAAGGTCTGCAGTTGGAATCCGGGGAGCGAGGTGAGCTCCCATTTGTCATCTCCAGCTTCTCATGCAGGGACATAAGAGAAGCCTCCCACCTGATGGTAAAACATCCGAGCTTCCCCTGGGCTTTCCCTGGGCAACGTCCTTGCAGATGGCCAATTCTCTCACCCTTGAAGCGACTTGCAGTTTCTCAAGTCGTTCCTGACACGAAAAAAAAATCTCTCTGTGGTTTTTAATAAATGCACATTAATGGTGTTATGTTTTCTCAATGTACCCTGCCTCCAGCCATGAAGAGATGCAAGGAACAATTTTTTGTTATCATCATCATCATCATAATTATTATTACAATTACTAGCCGTCCCTGCCACGTGTTGCTGTGGCCCAGTCTGTGTACGTGTTTTGTGTGTGTATATATTTGTGTATATATGTGATTTTGCACATGCGTTGAAATGTATTTTTATTTTTTGGCTTTTTAAGTCCCTTGCACTGTGTTTTTCAGTGTGTTTATGAGTGATGGTCACTCGTTGGCCTGCTAGGTGTATTGTGCCCAAATTTGCTGTCAATTCGTCCAGTGGATTTTGAATTATGTTGTTATGTTGATCCCACAAACGAACATTACATTTGGGTCTATTTCTTTAACGGGCAGCAAGTTGGGCAGACACAAGGAGACCCCCTTGGGTTTGAGAGGAAGTAGTGCAAGCTAATTCCTGCTTCCCAGCTCTGTGCTGTCAACTGCCAATGCTGAGAATACTCATTTCAGCCAAAAGCGTGAGCAGAGATGGGGAAATCCAGCGTGGTGAATGCCTTGCGTAAATTAAGCTGCTTCCCTCTGCATCCGTGTATTCTTAGAAGAGTGGGGAGGGGGGGGAGAAGGGGGTCTGCCGCATTGAGGCATCTCTCAGGTCCCTGCCCCTCTGCCGACATATGCACAGATTAACCCAGACTGTGGATGTCACAATTTCAGAGCTCCCACCGCCAACATCTCTGTCGGGGGATGCACTGCAGCCAACCAAGCCCGCAAGGTGACTGCCATCCCTCCCAGAAGATGGTAATCTGCAGTGAAACGTTGCCAGCGTTGGAACAGGAAGATTCGGGTCTCTGTGACATTCCAGGAGGCATATTAGGGGGCTCTTCACAGCTTGAGGAAGGGGAAGCAGAAGCCCGGAATGGAGGTGGAGTCCACGGAGAAGTGTGACTAAAGAGGGGCTTTTCAGGACTAATGCTGAGCCCAACTTGTGACCAAATTAGCCCAGGATTCCAAATGGTTTGTAGAATAATGAACCAAGGGGGCTTCAAAGACTCCCAGAAGGATTTCTCCAGACTGGGGCGCGAGTGGGTGGAGGAGGGTGAGCATTAGAACTGCACAATGTGTAAGCAAGTGGAAAGATATGCACAAGTGGAGAAAAGAAAGCCAGGCTTGCCACACACGCTTGGATTCGTACAAGTTGGCTTTCCTCAATCTGTCTCTATCTGTTGGGATCTGAGCAGGTACAGACAGATCTGAGAAATATATTCGAGGGTTATGAAGGGGAGGGGGGCTTCCCAAAACCCAGCTGCTTATCTTAAAATACATGTGGGCCAAATTCCACATTGGATACCACAGAGAAGGAATCAAAAGGCATGTTGCGCCAATGTCATTTCGCCTTTGTATAAATCCATGTGGTGACACAACTGGAACACGGTGTGTCATTCTAGTCACTGCATCTCAGGCAATGAACAAGGGGATGGGGCAAGGCCCCAGTGAAGAGAAGGTACAACCTCCAGTGATATTCAGGTAGGTAGAGGAAACTTCTCCCCCCGTCAGGAGCGACTTCAAAAACTGAAAGTCGCTTCTGGTATGAGAGAATTGGCCGCCTGCAAGGACGTTGCCCAGGGGACGCCCAGATATTTTGATATTTTACTATCCTTGTAGTAAAGGGGGCTTCGCTCATGTCCCCGCATGGGGAACTGGAGCTGACAGAGGGAGCTCATCCACGCTTTCTCTGGATTCGAACCTCCGACCTGTCGGCCTTCAGTTCTGCCACCGGGAGGCTCCTACCCAGCAGAACTACCAGCTGCCATTGTTAACCCGAGACACAATGACTTGCTTAATAGCCTCACCATAAAAGTGCCAAGATGAGAAATGATGACTTGGATCTATAGCCCAACGGGGCTTTGAATTGACCACCACACATTTGG